GTAACAGGATCATGGCTCACTGCAACCTCTGCCTCCCAGGCTAAAGCGATCCTCCTACCTCAGTCTCCTGAGTAACTGGGACTACAGGTGCACACCACCACACCGGAGTAATTTTTGTATTTTCTGTAGAGATGGGGTTTAACCATATTGCCCAGGCTGTCTCAAACTCTTGGGCTCAAGTGATCTGCCTACCTCGGCTTCCCAAAGTGCTGGCGTGAGCTACTGTGCGGGGCCTGATAAAACCTATTTTTAGTGAAACTCCTACTCTTCAACATTTATATTTCCAATTTTTAGCCATGATAAACAAAAATATGATGTTAAAATAGAATCAATAGAACAGGAATTTGTATATTTTTAAATATATGATGAAAATGAATGGTGGTAATCTAGGATGAGGACCAAATTTCAAACTTGGATAAGCAGAGCTGTGAGGATAATGAGGCCAGGCTTGGTCCTGCTGGGTTTGAGCCACCTGTGGAATACTTAGTTCATATAGTATTTGGAAAACTAATTACTGTGCTTCTTGTTATGGACTGATTTACCCTCTTCCCTGCTGCATATGTTGAAGTCCTTGAAAATATGACTGCATGTAGAGTTAGGGTTGTTAAAGATACAAAATGAAGTTATTGAGGTGGGTCTGAATCCAGTCTGACTGGTGTCCTTATAAGAAGACTGGACACACACACGGAGAAAAGATAATGTGAAGACACAGGGAGAAGACAGTTATCGACACACCATGGAGAGAGACCTCAGAAGAAATCGACCCTGCTCACAGGGTTAATCTTAAGAATTGTAGCCTCCAGAATTGTGAAAAAAATAAATGTTGAAGTCACCCAGTCTGGTACTTTGTTATGGCAGCCCTAGCAAAGGAATACACATCTCAAACATTTTCATTCTGGGATTATTTTTCTCTGTATTTTTTCAATGTTATGTCTGCTGCTCTATCCTAGAAAAACAGACATACAGAACACAGATGCCCGCCCACACCTACTGTGTGCTGTAGGGAAGAAAACAGCTTTCCCTTCTACCCATCTGAAATTCACTGGCTGGGGCCCTGTAACAAAAGACAGATTAACGAGAGAAAAGCATATACATTTGATGCGGTTTGGATCTGTGTTCCCACCCAAATCTCACGTTCAGTTGCAATCCCCAGTGTTGGAGGTGGGGTCTGGTGGGAGGTCATTGGACCACAGGGGTGGTTTCTCAAGGTTTAACACCACCCCCTTGGAGCTGTTGGGATAGCGAGTTTTGTCACCTGGTTGTTTAACAGTATGGTACCTCCACCTTCTCTCCCCCTTGCTTCTGCACCACCACGTAAGATGCCTTGTTTCCCATTTGCCTTCTGCCATGAGTAAAAGCTCCCTGAGGCCTCCCCAGAAGCAGAAGCTGCTATGCTTCCTGTACAGCCTGCGGTTTTATGAGCCAATGAAACCTCTTCTCTTTATAATTACCCAGTCTCAGTTATTTATTTATAGCAGTGTGAGAGTGGACTAATGCAACATTTATTTAATATAAATTTCACATGACATGGGAGCCTTCATAAGGAAATGAAAACCTAGAGAAGGGGTAAACCTGAGTATTTTTACACTAGGTTTGATGAAGAGTGGAGAGTCATGCAGAAATATAATAGGACAAAAAGAAGACTGTGAGCTAAGGTTGAAACAGAAACCTAGCAAGGTCTTTTTGTTCAGATTTCTCTCAGACTCTGCAGGACTCATATGAGGGTCCTATGACCTGCTTCAGGGGAGAAGAGTTGGGAAAAGTCAGAGAGACCTTACTGCCGATGATGCTTCTCAAATTCTTTCACCTTAAAATATTCAGTATGTTAAGGGGCCATATTTTGGGATAGTATGTTCTGAATGCCATCAAGATATACACTGCTGAGGGTAGTTGGGAGATAGTAACTTCTTGGTTCTTTTCAGAAATTATTTACTGCAGGAGTGACAAATACAGTGGTAGCAGCTACTCAAATCAGAGCCTAAAAATGATGTTACTTCTTTAGTGGTGAGGTGGTGTTCTTCAGCTTTTCAGGCCAGGAATTTACACCAATCAGTTTCCTTTGAAGTGACCTATGTCCCAAGGATACAATAGATTCAGGAAAGTGTGGCCCTCATCAGCCAGCCAATTTCCTACATTCCAATTAAAGAACATACTTATCAAGGTGCAGAAGTTCATCTAAAAACATGGCTGTGATTTGGAGGTATATGAGGGAAACCTAGTCAACAAATGAATGCAAAATAAATGTAGCAAGGTTAGCAAAGTTAATAGGAAACTTGGGAAGAAAAAAGGAGTAAAAAAGTACTAAGCAATTCTTACGTGAATTTCTAGGTTTCCTTCCTTACAACTCAACACATCTGACCATTAAATGAGGCACCCCTAGTTCTACTGAGGGCATGAGACAGTCTCTGGAAAATATGACACATGTTGCTTGAATTGGCAAGCAACGATAGGGAAATCAAACAGCCACAGGCGGTAGGATGTCTTCAAAATGCTTCAGAGGAAAGCAATGGCTTTAAAGAGGGGATTGAACTGTTCAAAGAGTATTATTTACACTGCCAGACAAAGAAGCCCTTTTCACATCAAACGCTAATTATTCCAGGCCTCAGGACTCTTGGCTTTAATTGTGGGCAGGATGAAAGGCACCTTCTCTATCATTTCAACCAGAGGCTTTAGCCACAGTTAATATTTACGGGGTCATCCTCTGTGCAGACACGGTCCTAAGTGCTTTAGCTGTGTCCTTTTATTTGTTACTCCAGCAGTGTCATGCAGTAGTTACTAATTATTATTCCTGTTTGGAATAAACAGGTAAGGAAGTGCTTACAGAGGAATTAGATAAATTGCCCAAACTTAGGATTGAAACAGGCAATCAGGACTATCACTTCCTGAGTGATGTCCCCCTTAATCCATGCTTGAATATTTCACGAATATATAATTTAATTGAAATTAGCTTTGGAGAGCAAGAAATGAATGCCTTAGTTATATATGGAGCTTCGAGAATTTTTTTCACAAATTCCATTACAAATTTATTTTGAGACTAGCCTGGGCAACACAGTGGGACCCTGGCTCTACAAAAATCATAAAAACAAAATAATAATAAAAATTAAGCGGGTGTGATGGTGCGTGCCTGTAGTGCCAGCTCCTTGGGAGACAGGTGGGAACACTAGCCAGGGAGGTTGAATGCAGTGAGCATGTGGTTGTGTCACTACACTTCAGTCTGGATGACAAAGTGAGACCCTGTCTGAAAACAAAAAATTAAAACAAAAACAAATTTTGGTCACTTAATGTTCACAGTAAGCTGCTATGTGTGTAATAAATAGAAAATAATGACATGTAGGTAATAAATAGAAAATAAGATTTTTAGAGCTCACATTTACACTGACAATGCCCCAGGTTTCCCCTCCAGAATATAGTGCTCAGAAAAGTTAAACTTGCTGCCAGGTGATCTTTAGAGCCCAAAGATCACCATTAATATTATTTTATTTTTAAAAGAAACTTTTCCTGGTGTAAGGACTTTGCTGTGCGACAAAGAATATGTGTATCTCCTGACGAGTTTTCTTTTATTGATTGAGCCTAAATTTCCTGACTTCTGTGACAGCAACTAGGCTTCTGCTTGGGATGTTCTCTAACGAATAGTGGGAAGTAATCCTTACAATCAGATAGAGTAGCTTCAAATCTCAGTTTTATTTATGTGTAAGGGGCTAGTTACTTAACCTAAATTCTTGAAGTCATCCACCTGTAAAAGAGGAGATTCCATTTCACAGCTGACTGTAGGAAAAAAAAAAAATCAATGAATGAATGCATTCTAAGGACTACCACACAAATGTTAATTCCTTGTAACCCTCCTCTCTTAAAATGAAATTTCAGGAAAGGAAGTAGCTGTGGACAAAGTCGTTCCAGGACACGGACGAGGTGGTTGAGGGAGAACACAGTCCTTGGAGCCTTAAAAAGGCTTACAGATAAAGCATATAAATGTAGCACCGGGAATTTTCATTTCTTTGCTCCAACTTCAGGCTATCCTGTTGCCTGTTCTTTCTCTTAAACTTCAATATGTTCAGCTAGGAAGATGGTAGAGTTCCTGATCTTGCCAAGAGGTAATATATATAGCTACGTGAAGTAATCCATTAATTATAAACTCAGTAAAATTTGTAAAGAAATTAGTAGAGTTGGAAGGGGGATAATGAGAACGTCTGGTAGTGATCTGCCATGGTTTAGAAATGCAACCAACAGAGGTGATTTCCTCCGTCAAATGCCGCTCCAATCATTTACAAGTTAACAACGAACTACAAGACGAATTTCGCTTTCTCAGAGCTTATTTTAGATTTAATACTACCCCAAACTTGATTTCCACCTGGCTACTCCAAGTCAAGGGCAATAGGATGTTAAAGTGAAACTAAAAGCGAAAACATAGCTTTAAGGTGGTGGTGTGCGGGAAGAAAAGTGGGGATCAATCTAGAACACGATTTTTCCTTAGCTGCTGAGTGAAATGTCTCATATTAAGCTGCATACGCACTTACTCCTTGGTGACGCTTACAATCTATAGGGGAAAAAACAACGAACCTGGACTTTTTGAGGGCAGTCTCGCTCTTATACCCCAGGTTTGAGTACAACAGCTCGATCTCGGCTCACTGCAACCTCCGCCTCCCGGGCTCAAACGATTCTTCTGACTGCCTCCCAAGTAGTTGGGATTAAGTCTGCCACCATTCCCGGCTAATTTTTGTATATTTTAGTAGAACGGGGTTTCACCATGTTGGCTAGGCTGGTCTCGAACTCCTGACCTCATGTGATCCGCCCTCCTCGGCCTCCAAAAGTGCTGGGATTACAGGCGTGAGCCACTGCGCGCGGCCGAACTTGGACGTTTTAGTAAACCCTTACTATCCCATGTGTTGCTTAGCCATTTTACCTTGCCAACTCTGGAAAATTACAGATCTTTAAACGACAACATGGGTGGCTCTTAAAAGAGCCTTTGGGTCGTTGGTGCTTTTACTCAGGTAACTATTTACTTGGAGCTGGTGTACTTGGTGACAGCCTTGGTGCCCTCCGACACCGCGTGTTTGGCCAGCTCCCCGGGGAGTAGGAGGCGCACGGCCGTTTGGATCTCCCTGGAAGTGATAGTCGAGCGCTTGTTGTAATGCGCCAAGCGGGAAGCCTCGCCTGCGATACGCTCAAAAATGTCGTTGACGAAGGAGTTCATGATACCCATAGCCTTGGACGAGATTCCGGTGTCGGGGTGGACCTGCTTCAGCACCTTGTACACGTACACGGAATAGCTCTCCTTACGGCTGCGCTTGCGCTTCTTGCCGTCCTTCTTCTGTGCCTTGGTCACCGCCTTCTTCGAGCCCTTCTTCGGGGCAGGGGCTGACTTAGCTGGTTCTGGCATGTTGGCAGCCGAAGTGACACCGTCAAACGACCACAGGGAAATGCTGGCGAGCCCAAACGCCCTCGTTATTTATTCCGTGTATATGCAAATGAGGCTTGCTGAGTTTCGGTTTCTGATTGGTTCTTTTAATGTCTGAATATACGATAGGCCATTTCTAAATTCCTAAATCTCATTGGCTCTCCCAGAAGCTCAACCTCATAATTTGACCTTTCAACTATAATTATGTAAGTCAGAAGTTTTTTTTTTTTTACTTTTTTTAAACACCTGCTTTTCGATTGGCTGAAATCTGCGTTCAGGAGATAGCACAGGCCACTTTACCGAATATAGATTATAGTAGTTTAGCTGGTTGCGTTTTACTAGAACCAGTCACTTTCCTTCTTCTAAACAATTATTTAAATACTTCACTGCGTCTGGATGTGGAAAGCAGGGCAGCAAAGCTGGCGCCAAGGCTCAAACGCACTCTTCCAGGGCTGGTCTCCAGTTTTCTGTGGGCCGAGGGCACCGCCTGCTCCGCAAGGGCAACTACGCCGAGCGGGTGGGGGCCAGCGCGCCCGTGTACCTGGCGGCGGTGCTGGAGTACCTGACCGCCAAGATCCTGGAGTTGGCGGGCAACGCGGCCCGCGACAGAAGACCTGCGTCATTCCCCGACGCCTGCAGCTGGCCATCCACCGCGAGAAGCTCAACAGGCTGCTGGGCAAAGTTACTATCGCGCAGGGCGGTGTCCTGCCCAATATTCAGGCCGTACTGTGGCCCTGTCTATACAAGTGACTGACTAGGCGAACAGGACTAATGAGAAAATGTCTAATATCGCAAGTAAGTGCTTTAATGTATTCGGGAAGAAGCAAGTTCAATAATGTTTGCAAAACTGTGTAAAGTTTACATGGACAGGGCCACTCCAATGTTCAAGTTACCCTGCAGAAGAGGCTAGTGGGGATGGTAGCCTGGAATATCAATAGGACCCAATGAAAAGTAAATGAGAGTCGTTGGAAAACCTAGTTAGTTTATCCTTTAAAAATTCTCAACCGAAGCAAAACACCATTTGGGACAAAATACAATTCAGTTAACATTTGTTGCTCACTGTTTTATGTCGGTGACTTCTTGGCTTGTGATTTCCCAGGTACACCACCCAGGAATCCTGCCTTATGGTCAAAGGTTTCTAGCTAGCGGCAGTTCAAGTTACTCCGGAAAACCAGAGATAAACTTCTCAAAACGTGGTCCTCCGAATCTGGCCCCACAACACATCTACTGAATGAGAATTAGCGTCTTCCAGAGTCTTAAAGTAGTCGTTTACGGACTACAGCTTGAAAAGCGCAGAATTAGAATTTTAAGAAATTAACGCTCTTGGATCGCATACTAACAGAGAAGAGAGGATTAAAAAATGAAGTGATTTATCCAATCAGACTTTCCAGTAATTCACCAATCACATCGTTGGACTCTTCAGCCAATGGTTTTGTTGCGCGGGACTTTTGAAAATCAACAAGGCCAATTAGAATGTTTCTGAGTATATATAAGGGCAGTCGCCACTCTGCCAAGTGGCTGAGTTTTTCTTCCAGTTAATCTGAGATGGCCCGCACCAAGCAGACTGCACGCAAGTCCACCGGTGGCAAAGCACCGCGCAAGCAGCTGGCCACTAAGGCGGCTCGGAAAAGCGCGCCGGCCACCGGCGGCGTGAAGAAGCCTCACCGCTACCGTCCCGGCACCGTGGCTCTGCGCGAGATTCGCCGCTACCAGAAGTCGACTGAGCTGCTGATCCGAAAGTTGCCTTTCCAGCGCCTGGTGCGAGAAATCGCTCAGGACTTCAAGACGGATCTTCGCTTTCAGAGTTCCGCGGTGATGGCCCTGCAGGAGGCCTGCGAAGCCTATTTGGTGGGGCTCTTTGAGGACACCAACCTGTGTGCCATCCATGCTAAGCGAGTGACTATCATGCCCAAGGACATTCAGCTCGCTCGCCGCATTCGTGGGGAGAGAGCGTAGAGGTTTCTGGGTAATAATTCTCTCCAACCCAAAGGCTCTTTTAAGAGCCGCCTACTTTCACCCGAAAATAGCTGTGATTGACTAATCGAATCTTTGAAACTGAACGTTGGTGGTAGTACTTAAGTCCTCATTTGATTGGCTAAAGTTAATGGTAAGCTTGCTATATTCCCGTGCTTTCTCCTGAACATGCCAGATTGTCAACGTCCTTTTTTTTTAAACTTAAATTTAAATTTTTAATTTTTTGCTGACTATTAGGGGTTTGGTGCTTCGATTTGGTAGTGGAAGGGGCCATCTGGGTTCATGTTATACATGGTTTGTCTCAAGCGTCAGTTGCGTTGTCTACTTATACTCATTATAGAAGAGGTTTTTTTCCGTAGTGTATTTGTAGTTAATCCCTTTTAAAACCTTACAGTTAATGAGCATTGGCAGTTGAGAATAGGTACAGATGTCCTTGGTTGCTGCTTTTTCTTGTCTGAAGTAAGCTATTTCTACAATCCCCCGCCCCACTTTTTTTTTTTTTTTAAACAGTTCTTGGTCTTTTCTGTGAAATGATCCATTTTTGACCGATAGTTGATTCAATATCAGAAATTGGTGGCAGAAACCGAAGCCAGATTGGCTTCTACATTACTGGCAGCGTGGGCATTACCTGGGAACTTGTTAGAAGCTTGTTTCAATCCCCATCTAGGGCTGGAGTCAATCTGTATATACCTCAGATGATTGTCATGAACACTGATTTAGAAAGCCTAGGTTGTTGGTTTTGGTCTAATCAATAAAGGCATCCTGCCTGTGAACTGTTACAAGGAGTGAGCTTTTGCAAAATGTATGTTTATTTTACAGAATGAAATATTCTATGAAATGTTCTCTAAAGCAAGTGCACAGAACAATCCCCTAAAATAGTTTGATTTCTTTACAGATCAGTTTTCTCAATGTAACATTACAGTCACATGGGAAGGCTTTAGAAAAATCTTTACCTGGTGTTCAATGAGACTAATAGCAGTCTGTAGAGTGGGCCCAGGGAATGGTAATTATTAATATTCAGGTGCTTCTAACAAACAGCTGGGGCTGAGACTCCTTGCTACATAAATTTTAACACTCATTAGCTCTGGTTTGACTCCAGACTTAGCACAGTTTTCTAATTGAATCTGTTTCCTTGTAGTTTGCCCTCAGAATATACTGGTCTCTAAAGACTTTCTGGCTTGCTTGACTATCTTTCAATACCTGACTTTTATAAGAATTTCTTAGGGCAACACTAACGTAAGGTTTTTTTTTTTTTTTTTTTTTTTGGAGACACCAAGGTCCTTTCAGTGAAAGTATCAAGTTTTTAGGGATGTTACAAGGAGGAACACATACCATCCTGGGCTGCTTGGCATACAACCAAGGTATCTGTTTGCATATAGAACCCTTCCTTTACAGATTAGCACAAGGCCCTGTTTGGGTATTCAGCAGATCTTCCTTTATGACCTTTATTAATTTAGCAACTTGTCATTTTTTTTTCACATATTGTTTTTATTTTAAAATCTTATTTGACATTCCAGAATATATGGGAAAGGAGATAATAGTTTAATAAAACCTATGTTCCTCTCATCCAGCTTCAATAAAAACATTGGCTTAAGTGTGTTTTATCTATTGATTTTTGTAAAGCAAATAATGAAACCGCCTCATGGGTTCACCTTGCCCGCTGCCTAGACAAAGCTGAGTTATCTAGGCAGGGAATTGCAATAGAGAAAGTAATTCAGAGCCAGCTGTCCGGGAGACCCTAGTTTTATTGTTACTCAAATCAGTCTCCCCAGCATTCTGGGTGGGGGAAGCCGGTGAACCAGGAGTCCTGATTGGTTAGGTCAGAGATGTCATTACAGGGAGTCGAAGCTGTTTCCTTGGGCTGAGTCAGTTTCTGGGTGGAGGCCAGGAGATCGGATGAGTCAGTTTACGAATCTGGGTGGTACCAGCATCAGGTCTGCAAAATATCTCAAGCACTGATCTTAGGAGCAGTTTAGGTAGGGTCAGAATCTTATAGGTTCCAGCTGCAGGACTCCTAAACTATAATGTGTGTGTGTGTTTTTTTTTTTTTTTTCCTTTGAGACAGAGTCTCACTGCATCGCCCAGGATGGAGACTGCAACCTCCACCTCCCAGGTTCGAGCGATTCTCTTGTTCAGCCTCCCAAGCAGCTGGGATTACAGGTGTGTGCCACCATGCCTAGCTAATTTTTGTATTTTTAGTAGAGACGGGGTTTCATCATATTGGCCAGGTTGGTCTCGAACTCCTGACCTCAAGTGATCTGCCTGCCTTTGCCTCCCAAAATGCTGGGATTACAGGCGTGAGCCATTACGACAAGCCCCTAGACCATAATTTCTAATCTTGTGAGTAATTAGTTAGTTCTATCTACAAAGGCAGTCTAGTCCCCAGGCAAGGAGGTTTGTTTTGGGAAAGTGCTGTTATCATATTAGTTTTAAACTATAAACTAAGTTCCTCCCAAAGATAGTTCAGCCTACACCCAGGAATGAACAAGGACAGCTTGAAGGTTAGAAGCAAGATGGAGTTGCTTAGGTCAGATCAC